TAATTGAAGTATCATTATTTGATGATAATTTACTGAAGTTGTCATGTAAAATATCGAGAAGAATATTCATAAATTCAAGTGAATCATGTTGGCGATAATTTGCAAATCGAGGAGCGATTTGAGAGAATTCCGAGCGGAGTTCAGCTGGAATAAGAGGGCATTTATCATTTTCCGTCAATTGTTTAGCAACTTCTATGTATGCTTGAGTAACGGGTGAAAGAGTTTTCATTTCATCAATCTCTAGCCGATCAAAAGATTTTACGAGATGGTGCACGTGTTCCAGACACTGCAGACTACTATTCATGTAACATGTGTTGCCCAGATTTTCAATACCGCGAAATGGACGCAGTTGCTGCTTGTCAGAATACTTGCGATCAATTTCTGTTCCACTTGCAGCAAAAGCATTGTCAGATGCTTCAGTTTCATTGCAGCGTTCGTCATAATGAATAATATTTTTATTATTTATTGACAATTCGGCGAGAGTTCGATCGTTGTTATTATTGTCTATCTCTCGCCAATAAATGCTGTCGGGCGAAGATGACTTATAAAGGATCAAGTCCTCAATAGGATAATTGAGTGAAAATTTTGGGACTATTTTCTTTTTCAAATGAGATAAGGTGGCTTCTGATTTAATATTTATTTCTTTGCATTCAGAGGTATCACCTTTGTTAGGATAAATATACAGTGTGATCATTGTACTAATTTCATGCTCCTCTGTTTGTGAACGTTTTTTACGTTCTGGTGAGTGACTCGTCGAAAATGTGGCATCGAATGTTCTTTTCGTTTCAGTGACAGTCTGTGATGAATAGATTGTAGCAGAAAAAATGCAGAAGTTTTCTTACTTACATTTCTCGACTTGATGTGATTCGCGTTATTCATAGACGAGGCGTCATCCTCATTGGCAATCATCGGCGGACGCTATAAATGAGCAAAACATTAGAAACTAATTGTGTAGTCTATGAAAGTATACGAACGTAAGTTGATTCCGATGATTGCATAGTTTTCGTACTAGCTGAGGGTGTTCCCGTTTCGGCTTGACGAGATACTTCCTATTTTAAGTTCAATACTGAAGTAGAATGTCAAACTTTCCATTATACTGACTCACTGAGTACGTCTTTCTTGTTGAATCCGGCCGTCGTTCGACCGAATCGAAAGAAAATTTTTCGGGTACCTCACCCTCCTAAAAAAACTTGAATTAGTGAATGCATAATGAGAAATCTCAGCAAACTTTAATTGTTAGATTTTTTAATCTAGTACCAGTGGCAATCTCCAATTCATCAGGTAGCGTTTCTGTGTCCCTCGAAGTCTAATAAAAAACTATGAATGGGTATATTCTGATATTGGTAATAGCTCAAGTAACCTTTGCCTGCTCGACAAGAGCTACATGCTGTTGATAATTACAGTTCCGTGAGGTCGATTCTTCTATTGTTCTTTCCTAAATTAAATATTTTTATCGATACTATATATTTTGCTGAGGCTATTATACACAAACTCACTCTTGCTTTTGTGCTTATAGCTTCTGGTGATACTTTATTTGTCGTTGAAATCGTCAATTCTAACTGATTCGATGTCTAAACGGATAGTCAAAACCTCAATCAAAGCGAAACAGATGCATTAAACGTGTTTCAAACCACAACAGGAGATGATTCAGATTTTTCACCGAAGTCCCAAAATGGATCACCAGGGCTGGTAACAACAAACAGGGTTTTTTCTCTCATAAATTTGTCTTCGAAGAACTTTCGGCATTCTGCACAAATGTAGCTCGCTTTAAAACGACATGAACAAAATGATAAGATCTGGAATAAGATAAAATTATATTTTATGCAGTCTTGCTCACAAATAGGGATGTAATCAATCAGTTTCGCCGCTCGAACGCCCACTTCCTTCAGACCGATCCGTTTGCGGCAGTTTGCACATTCATAGTTTGGATAATAGCCTTCACAAAGCTTAAATCGATGCCAAGGACACAGACGGCCATTCAAATGAGTTTTCAAACGAGATTCGACTAAATCGAGATCAGTGACATGGACATTGTACACAGTTCTAAATCGAGAACGCAAATCATCGACCGTGAACAGGTCTTCCACCCCTTCATGAGCTCTACAATAATCCAGATTGTTTGCGCAGTACCGTGAACACCCAATATATTTTTGATTCCAACTGACCATAATTTTTTACTCAACGTGTTTATCTAGAAAAGAAATTACTTTTCCAACTAAACCTTCCACTTAAAAATTGGAATCTTCTAAACTTCTAAAAAACTTTCGAACGATGGATAACAACCCTAATTTAAAAAGAATAAAATGCTAGTTCTCTTGGCTGTGGGTGTGGGGTGTGCGTGTGGATGTGGGTGTGGGTGGGAGTGTGAATGTGGGTATGGGTGGATGTGGGTGGGGGTGGGGGTGTGAATGTGGGTATGGGTGGATGTGGGTGTGGGTGTGGATGTAGATGAAATAAAAAGTCAGACCCACACTCACACCGACATTCAGTCATACCCACATTTTTTTAGTTTCTCATGATGCTTTTTAAATAGTATTATTATGGAAGTGCGAAGCACCATTAGGTGAATCTGTTTGTTCGTTCTATTAATCATAAGACCTATTGCAAAGAAGTGTTCAACTGAAAATTAAATCATGATAGCAGTCCGTGCGGCAATTATCTATGAGTGGATAATTAATATAAGGGCGCTAACATGATAAACAGGTTCTAATAACTAGATCAACCAGGTTTGGTGTTACTCCTAGAGTTATTCTACGAGAGTACTTGCAAAAGAAGATCGACTTATTATCATTCTTGAATAAGACAAAAACAAAAAATCTACAAGCAAAATATGCGAAAAAAATCAAGTTTCTTATTTTCTTTCATGTCATTCACAAACACATAAGAAAAGGGAACCCGAATAATTTTGGCACTAAGACTCGGTTACTCATTATTTGCTCTTCTTCATTTTACAGAATTGCATGCTGTTCATTGTTTCGTTTTTTCTTATACATGTTTCTCAAATGTGTAGAAATATCTCATTGTGAAAAGAACTTAAAATAAACCGATTTCTTGAGAAAAATTTGTGATTGTTTCGGAACTAAGCGACTAGAAATTTCATTTTAAAAATGAGTTGAAGGTGAAATATTCAGTATGCTCTGGTGAAGTTACGATTAAAGCATAAGGCAGAGTATGGTTCGATTCCATAGTTGAATTCTTATTTTTGTTCTGATAAGATCATATCGACTTTTGCTGAATTTTTTAGAACTATTCTCGTACGGTTTCGAGTACTATGGAGCTTTTTCAATCCATTTTATGTGATACTGAATAGATACTCTGGGGGGTTGAAAGTCTAAGTCTATTTTAAGATTAAGACATTTTTACTTGGAGCGTAAACAAATGCAAATTGATCATTTGATACAGTATATTTTGAAAATTAATTCTGTAAAGCAAACTAAAATTATTCGTTATGTCTTCTTTTAGCCTTCACGCTGTCGATAAATGAGAAGATAAGCATTTGCTGTTACCAGGTCTCTTATAATTGCTTCACGAACACAGTGATCGTTAAAGTGCAGCCAATTGTTACTAAGAAAATTTCTTGCGTAGGCCGTATAATGTCCTCCAGCAAGACTTCCACTATGACAGGAAGTGGCGATAAGATCGAAGCGGATATTTTGATCATAATCGGTATTGGTAACAAAATCGCTCAAGTTTAGAGAATCGAGCGGATAGTCGACCAATGTTTCAATTTTGGTATTATTAGAGAGATCATATGTAAATCGTTTGAGTTGAAGAATTAAAACTTTTGGTACTGTCCATAGATCAAGTTTCTTTGTGGCTTCAGTAAGACGATTGCAGTTATTACAAAACCATTTACCATTCTTGCTCAAAATTTCGGATTTAAAAAGTCCTTCAAAACATTTCTTTAAGGGTATAGAAGACTTGGATGATCCTTTTCTCGGACATGACTCACGATCAATTGATTGTGATGCATTTTTAGAAACCGGCAGCGAAAGGAAGCTCATCGATTCATCGGACTCGAATATTATCGGACATTCGAAGCATCGGACTGTTGAACGTAATTTGCAATGAAAAATGTCGGAGATAACAGATGTTTCATCATTCACAGCATCGGACATATCTTCGCGCTTAAGATCTTCATGCAGACCATCGAGTAGTACGTTCAAAAATTCATGTGAGTCTTGCTGATTAAAACCCGCAAAGCGAGGACAAAGATCACCCACGTATTGTTTCACCGAAGAAGCGCTAACCGATGATTTCGTGCCTGACCACATTTCTTGAATAAGATTGGCATAGGCACGAGCAACTTTTCCTTCTGTACCCAATAAATTTGTCATATTTAAATCTTTTTCGAAGCCACGATTCTTCAAAATGTACAGCGTAAGATCGGCTATATTACTCAAACATTGAAGTGCACTATTCATGAAACAAGTATTGCCAATATTGACTATACCACATCGACCGCGTTCAATCGGTGTCACAGACTCACAAAGACTAATTAGAAATTCATCAACTTTGGCTGTAGCGCTTGAAGTAGATGATAATTCAGGTGGTGGCTCAATAGAATCTTCTGAATTTGATATTTCCGCTTGGCTACTAGTTTGTTCTTTCCCGATCTTGTTCGAAGATTCACCTACGCGATCAGTTCTAGCAGCAATAAAGCCATCAGCCACAGCTTCAGAAGAAGATTTTACATCTTTGTTAGAGCTAGTTCGACGCGAAACTTCTTCGTTGTTCACAGAATCTTCGGTTTTATTTTGACCCACTGCTGGAATTATCCCATCTGATTTTATATTTTTCCGTTTACTCATTTCAGGTATTGTTGCATCATATGATAACTGATGCGGAATGAATGAAATTTTCGTTCTTGAAGTTGTTGTCGATTTTTGCTCATCAGTCAACTTGGTTCGATTCAGAAGTGGTTGACTGCAGGAATGGGTTGGTGTCCGCTTCTGATCGTGATGTGTTTGCAAAGAAGGCTCTGCATCACTTTGAGGAATTTGAGCAATACCTGTATGATCGCGCGTTTGCGAATGTATGCGCTCAATAGCCGTACTGTAGCTAGCTCGACGAAAAGGAGAATGAGTTAAATTCTGAATACTGTCGTTGATGTCAATCCTTCGTTTCGAAGGCGAC